TCCTGAACTCTGGGCCTGGGCGCTGTCCCTCAGCTCTTCATCTCAAGGCTAAGTGCTCTACCACTTGAGCCACAGCGCCACTTCTGGCTTTTTCTGCTCATATGGTGCTGAGGAATGGAATCCAGGGCCTCATGCATGCAAGACAAGCGCTCTACCACTGGGCCTCATGCTTGTGAGGCAGGCATTCTACCACTAGACCATAAAAGGAATCTTCATGGTATCCTGAGTACATCTAGTAATGGGTAGTTACTAAGTTTAGATTGTTACTTAATGTGTTTGCTTTCTATTACTGTAGCAAAATACCTGAAATAGTCACCTTTTGTTTTGTTTCTGTTTTTGTTTGTCATGAGGCTTGAACTCTGGGCCTGAGTGCTGTCCTGCAGCTCTTCAGCTCAAGGCAAGCACTCTACCACTTGAGTCACAGCACCACTTCCAGTTTTTCTGCTACTTTATTCTGGCTTTGAACTGCAATCCTCAGATCTCAACCTCCTGAGTAGCTAGGATTACAGGCGTGAGCCACCAGTGCCTGGCTTGAAATAATCACCTTTTAGGAGGAAAACTTTATCTTGGGTCACCATTGAGGTTTTAGCCCATGCTCACTTGGCCTATGGCAAGACAACCTAGTGGGAACCAGACCAGATTGCAGAGGAAGCTGTGAAGTAAAATGAGGAAAGGATGGGTCCAAATCCCCTTTCCAGGACACACCCCCAATCACCTCACTTCCTCCCACTAGGTCCCACTTTTAAGGGTCCTGTCACACACACACCCCTCATCCCATAGCACCACAGACTAGGGACCAAGCCTTAACACATGGTCCCTATGTGGGACCTGTATCCAAGCCATAATATTTAAAGTAATAAGTGATAATAGCTAACATTGAATCTTTTCTAAAACCAAATTCTGTACATACATTATCACATTTAATTCCAGTAATGCTATGGTCATAGTTTGTTGTCCTTTTTTTTTTTAATTTTTGGTCAGTTGTGGGCCTTGAACTCTGGGCCTAGGCGCTATCCCTGAGCTCTTCAGCTCAAGGTGAGCACTCTATCACTTGAACCACACCACCACTTCCAGTTAATTGGAGACAAGAGACTCATGGACTTTCCTGCCCCTGCTGGTTTTGAATGTGATCCTCAGATCTCAGCTTCCTGAGTTGCTAGGATTACAGGCATGAGCCACCGGCCCCCAGCTTATTTGGCCTTTTTCAGGCTTCTAAGTCCACAAGTCCAGTAACTCCATCTTCTACAAATGGAAGAGTAGGGACTTGTTTCAAAGAGCAGAGGAAGTTAGCTTTGCTTACAGTCAAGTCATCATGGCTTTTCAATTTGGTAACTCCGACTATCCCAGGAATGGGTTATCTAAGGCTCTTACAGGACACAGTACCAGAACTCCAGATTCTAGGTTGGTTTCAAGTACTAGCCCTGGAACACTTTACAGTTCTCTCAGTTTGAGTACTCCTGAACAGCCATCTCACCAGGGGACTTCTTCAGTCCACAAGAGCCACCAGCGCTGTCAGAACTGTGTTGTGAAATGTTCAGTTTTCTTACTCTATTCCATGAGGCAATCCAAGGGAAGTTCCAGAACTGGGATTTTCCCATGCAACTGGTTATTTTGGACATAATACAAGTTTTCTGCTGTCTGCCTAAACCCCATTATATGGAGTTTCCCAACAACAGCCTTGCCTACCATAATGAAGTTCTGGGAAGTTCAAATCCCTTGTTAGCTGCAGTGTAACTCACACTGATAAAGTATATAGAATGAGAAATTTCACTGACTCCAAACGAATCCTTACCAGAGGATGCCACCCAGCCCAGCACTCCAGCATTTATAGCCACAAAACACAGTAACCATGACCCACCACTCAACCTCCTTTAGTGTTCTCATTTGTAAAATAATGGGCTCCAAATCTTAAATCCTTGTTATTTCAGAATGACCACCTAGGAGCAGAATGAGAGGAAAGGAGCTGGCTGCTTGTGTTTTCACTTGTGCTGGGGATGGAACCTGGGCCTCATGCATGCTTGGACTGCGCTATGTCACTCGGCCCAGCCTTCGATGGTTCAGCTTCACAAGGGAGGGGTTTTGTCGTTTACCATCATTGCAGTTAATGCCTAAAATGGCCTCATAGATTCTCCAGATGTATTGTCATAGGTGTAGGATATTGTTCCTGATTGCACATGCAAATAAACTTTGCTGCTGCTCTTCCCACAAGGAAACTTAACAATAGACTAGACTGACCTGGTTTGCATGGCCGACTTCACCACATCCAACACTATACCACTTAGTGACAGATGAGACAACAAAGCCAAGGTGCACAAGGGTTCATCATACTGGAAGATTAACAGGCAGTGGATAGCAGGATTTTTTCATTTGTGTGTGTGTAATGGGGTTAAACAGATTCTGGGCACTGTCCATTACTGCTCCACTTTCAGCTTTTTGCTAGTTAACTGGAAATAAGAGTCTCAAGGACTTTTTGCCTGAGATGACTTTGAATCATGATCCTCAGATCTCAACCTCCAGAATACCTAGGATTACTGGCATGAGCCACAAGTGCCCAGCATATACATCCGTCTTGCTATGTCCAAATTTCCTTTTAGGGAGACATTATAGGTTTCACATTGGAAATTATGCTGATGAGCTAATTTTAATTTTCTCTTTAAAGACTACATATGGTTTAAAAGACTTCTTAAAGAGTAGCTTTTATATATAGTTACATTCCTAGGTCCTGGAGGTTAGGATATAATGGGGGGGGGACACAATTCTGTTCATTAAAAATAACCTCTTCTAGGTCACACATTTGAGGGAGAGAGTTGGGGCTAAGCTGTAGACAGCCATGAATCAGGACAGAATGAGGAAGCTCAAGGGTCAGCAGGAAAGGGTGTCACCAAAGGAACCAATCAGGCAACATTTCAGGCCTTGAAATTTTGACCTGGTGGGCCTGCTGGGAACTCAGTCTCTCTCTGCTCCCTTTAGTTCTCAGCCCTGTAGTTGGACACTAGCTTCTCACTAATGTGTCACGTTTGTCAGCTGGCAAGCCCAATGCCAGATTCTGGAAATTTTGAGAAAGGGGAAAAATGTGATAACAAGCTCACACCTGTGTGGCTTAGTAATGATCACTGACTCATCAGG